GCCTCCCAAGTAGCTGGGACCACAGGCGCCCACCACAACACCCGGCTTTTTTTTTGGTTGCAGCCATTATTGTTGTTTTGGTGGCTTGGGCTGGATTCGAACCCTCCACCTTAGGCGTATGTGGCTGGCGCCTTAGCTGCTTGAGCCACAGGCGCCGAGGCTACAGCTGGTCTTATTCTTTCCAAATTACACCAAAATCTACCACTGCTGTAAGTTAAAAGGTACTTCAAGTCCATTCCTGAAGGCAGCCATAAAACACAGCCAGCCCTTTGCAATGACTTTCATCAATGCATCTAAGTAAAGATACCAAAAGAAATTTCTGTTCTGAAAAGGCCCAGAAGTCCAAAGAAGTTCAATGCCTTGCCTGCTCCTTCCAACACGTGGCTGAAGTCAAGCTCAAAGCATTGCCCCATCTCCTTGAGGACCAGCCCACAGGGACCTCCCCTTCCCAGAGGCTACTGAGGAGCTGGGAAGAGCTCTTTCCAGGGAAGCTCTGACTGATGGGGCTCCAGTATCCACACAACATCCCTCCGAATCCCCATCTGGGTTTAGAACAACACAACCCCAGTCTCCACAAAGGCAGAGAACACCTGGTCTGGTTGTGGTCAGCGAAGGGACTCTGTAACTGGATGTGGATGGCACCAGTGCAGCTGGGAGCTGGCAGAGGACGCAGAGATCACTTCTCAATGGACAGCTGCCAAGGCTGGTTCTCATCTGAAGGGAGCAAAAAGCTCTCTGTGCAACTCTTCCACCTCGGAAAGGGAAGGTCTGGGGAAGTCTGGATTTCACTCACCAACAACACCCTCTCCCCCTGCACATACCCCTTTATGCTGAGGCCTCATGCTACCTCTACCCCATCAAGGAAAGGAGTTTGAAACAAGTGGTATGCTGTATTCCTGACCCTACCTCCATTTTCTCAAAGGAAGGACACACACACCCCCATACACAGCAGATCCTTGAGATTTGCCATTTCTGTGTTTGCAAACGCATCTGCTCCCTAAAACTCAGAGACCCCCAAATCAATACTCACAGTACTTTCAAAAACATTCATAGATACACACTGTGTGGCCAAAATTTTAGCTTCCCCAGCCACATGCTCCTGGCTGAGGCTGCACAAGACTCACTCCACCTTCCCTCCCCACTCACACGCTGTAAACAAGAGCAGTTTCCAGGGTCTGTTTAGTGTTGCACGTTTTACATTTTAGTGCTTTTTCTTTTTTGGGGGGGGGAGGGCCAGGGTTGGGTTTGAACCCGCCACCTCCAGCATATGGGGCCAGCGCCCTACTTCTTTGAGCCACAGGCACCACCCTTCACACTTTTTCTTGGTGATTTCTCTATTTCAAGTGCCCACCACACTTCACCCCCTGGCACGATGCTGAAGTGCTGGCGAGTGTGCCTAAGCCCAGACAGGCTGGATGTTCCTTACCGAAAATGCACGTGTTTTTAAGAAGCTTGTGGAGGGAAGAATTATGAGTTCAAGGTCAGTCCATCAACAATATATATGAAATACGGGGGTCTCTAAGCAGAGACACACCTAAAACAAAGTTCTGTTTTGATCAGTTGACAAAGATGTTGCGACCAGAGGCTTATAGGAACCTGTCCCTGTACATCCCCCAGGAAGAACAGCTCAGCATTCCATAATTCTGTGCTCGCAGTGACTTTCTAGGACATAATTCCTGAGAATAATGAGAGTCACTACCTCCATCGTGGCAAAGAGAAAGGGCATTTTAATTTCCTTACCAGTAAAACAAGGATTAAAATAAACCAACACTGGGTGGCACCTGTGCTCAGTGGGTAGGGTGCCAACCCCATATACTGAGGGTGGTGGGTTCAAACTCAACCCCGGCCAAACTGCAACAAAAAAATAGCCAGGCGTTGTGGCAGGCGTCTGTAGTCCCAGCTACTCAGGAGGCTGAGGCAAGAGAATTGCCTAAGCCCAGGAATTGGAGGTTGCTGTGAGCTGTGACACCATAGCACTCTACCAAGGGCAGTAAAATGAGACTCTGTCTCTACCAAAAAAAAAAAAAAAAATCAAAGGGCCATTGTGTAATGTAAATAAGGAAATACTAGTTCAAAGCCAAAACACTGCAGATCCTGAATAAATGTTCATTTTTCTCCTCCACAGTCAAGGAATGAGTCACACAGACATGTCAATTTAAGTCTGTGTTCTCAGGCACAAGGTAAGCATGAGCCTTGAAATGCCTCTGACGTATCCTCCCAGGGGCCAGTCACCTCCATGGGATGGAACCTAGCGTGGGGATCGGCTCCCAAGGTCAGCAGGGTGCACCTGTCTATATCAGCCTCACCCTGCCAGTGTAACAAACTACTGCAACTTTAGTGGCTTAAAACAATGCAAATGTATCATCTTACAGCTGCAGAAGCCAGAAGGCCAGAATGGGTCTCCTGAGGTTAAAATCAAGATGGCAGCAGGGCTGTGTCCTCTGGAGGCTCCTTGCTTTTCCTCCTTAGAGGCCCTGTATTCCCCGGCTCATGGCCCCTTCCTCCATCTTCCGGGCACAGCACAGCATCTTCCAATCTGTCCCCAACTGACATTCACTCTCCTGCCTCCGTCACTCACATTTAAGGACCCTCTGTAATTAAACCGGACCCACAAGGATAATCCAGGATGATCTTTCCATCTGAAGATCATTAACTTCATCACCTGTGCCACATAATATAACACCACCACACGGGATTCAAAAGTGGACATAGTGGGCATTAGGCTGCCCACCACACTGTATATATTATGCCCTCCAGAAGAACCCAAATTTCATATTATTTGATTCCTTTCCATTAAAGGAATTAATTTGATTCCTTTGATTCCTTTAATTTGATTAATTTGATATTAATTTGATTCCTTTCCATTATTTGATTCCTTTCCATTCATCCAGCTGAATGATCACACCAGCGAGTGTCAAACTGGATGAGAAAGAAGAGGAATTGAGAGGCTCCCAGATCTGATCTCTACGGAGAAACATCAGAGGAAGGCTCCCTGAGCATGAAAGACCCCAGCAAGCTTCGGAGGCCAAAGTGAAAAGGGAAGAAAAGGACCTTCTAGGTAGAACGCTGAACAAGGCCAGGCAGTGGCTCACACCTGTAATCCCAGCACTCTGGGGGGCCGAGGCAGACAGACTGCCTAAGCTCACGAGTTCAAGACCAGCCTGAGCAAGAGTAAGACCCTGTCTCTAAAAATAGCTGGACGCTTAGTAAGCACTTGTAGTCCCAGCTACCTGGGAGGCTGAGGTTGCTGTGAGCTGTGATGCCACAGCACCCTACAGAGGGTGACAAAATAAGAGTCCGTCTCAAAAAAAAAAAAAGAACATGTGAACAGCATGTGCCAAGGGCCTGCGTCAGAAGGAGCCCACGAGGGGGGACACCACACAGCACCGCCCAGCAGAACTCTCCGTGAGGGTACAACGCCAGCCAACAAGGCACCACTGGCCACGTGGGAGTGAAAAGCACTGAAATGGCGGACTGGCCCTGAAACTGAATTTCTAAGTTTATTTAAATTATTTGAAATCCGAATTTAAACAGCCACGTGGGGCTAGCAAACTGGACAGTGCGGGGCTGAGGCACTCAGGGCCTTACAGAGCTGGGAAGCCACGGGGGTCTACAGCAGAAAGCACCATAACCACATCATTCGGCCACATCAGTCCTGGCTGCAAAGAGACCTCGTGAGATAGTGAACAGCACAGATGCAGGGGGCAAGTGATGATGGTGACAATGGCAACAGGGACCATGATAACCAGGGTGGTGGCACTGCTGACAGAGACATGAACAGATTCCAGAGCAATTGACACAATGAGCAACCCATTCTCCGAGCCTGGGAACACCACAGGAAGCAAGAATAGGCTCGCGGTAGGAGCAAGACCACACGTTTGGGTTTGGCCTGGTAGGGGACAGGATTTGGCTCCATCAGACCCGGAAGCAGAGAAGGAAAAGAGGTACAGGACCAAAAGGTGAGCCACTGCAGCACTTCATGATCAGACAGAGAAGGATGGGGCGGGGGGGGGTGTCATAGGGCTGTCACAAAAGACACGGGAAAAACCAGCAAACGGGGTCTCAAATTTTCATGGTATCCAAGGAAAATGAAAACACACACCCGCATAAGAACTCACCTGTTCTCAGCAGTGTTATTTCTTTTTTTTTTTTTTT